GATCCTCCAAAGACCATCCCATCCAGACCCACTCCCCCACCCTATCCCTGTAACCCTGCATTTCCCACGGTTAATTCATCTAGCCAGACACTGTGGGCAATTTAGCATGGCCAATCCACCTAACCTGCACATCTTTGGACTGTGGGAAGAAACCAGAGCACCTGGTCCATTATATATTGTCATAAAAATTTACCTGGTTCACTCCTGTCCTTCAGGGAAGGATATCTGCCTCCTTCTACACATGCGTGATGTCTGAATGGTGATAAATTGAAATATGGGGAAGACGTTATGAGACCTGGGTGTCCCTGTACACCAGTTGCTGAATATAAGCATGCAGGTCCAGCAGGCAGTGAAGAAAGCAAATGGTATGTTGGCCTTCATAGCGAGAGGATTTGAGCACAGAAGAAAGGATGTCTTGCTGCAATTATACAGGGCCTTGCTGAGACCACAGCTGAAATATTGTGTACAGTTTTGGTCTCCTTATTCCGAGGAAGAATGTTCTGGCTATGAAGTGAGCGCAACAAAGATTTACCAGGGATGGCAAGACTGACATATGAAGAGAGACTGGATCAGTTAGGACTATATTCACCGGACTTTAGAAGAATGCGGAGGATCTAACAGAAACCTGTGAAATTATAAAAGCGTGAATGCAGGAAGAATATCCCCAATGAATCGGGATCACAGCCTAAGGATACAGAATAGGTCATTTAGGGCTGAGATGAGGAGAAATTTCTTCACCCAGAAAGTGGTGAGCCTGTGGAATTCTCTACCAAAGAAAGCCAAAACACTGAATGTTTTCATAAAGGGGTTATATATAGTTCTTAGGGCTAAAGGGATTAAAGTGCTTGGGGGAGAAACTGGGAACTGGGTGCTAAGTTGGATGATCAGCCATGATCAAATTGATTGGAACTCAGGAACCGTTTCTTGAGATCAGAAAATTGTACAAATCACTCTGATGTTTAAGTAAAAATGTAAAAGGGAAGCAGGAAACAACAGGACAGTTAGTTTAACATTTGTTAAAGCCAAATTACCAGAGTTCATGGTTAAGTTCAGGGTTATTAACCACTAAAAATATTCAGCTGAACAGAGAGAACCAACCTTGACCCTCGAAGAGTAGATTATGTTCAACAAATCTTCCTCGACTCCATACACTTCCAGATATCTGCATTCATCTAACTTACCTTTTCTTGAGCATCCCTGGTTTTAATGTCCAGCTACACAGATCACAGAAATATGAAGATATCCACTTAGGCAGCAAAAACAGAATGGCAAAGTATTATTTAAAAAGGTTGTTGTAACCCAAAGAGTTAAATTACAAGAAGAAATAAACAATTGGATGTAGTCCCTCCAATTTATTAACGGGTGATTTGATTGAAGCTTTCTGGATATTAAGGGGAACAGGTGGGGTACATAAAAAGTATTTCTGACGGAAGAGGGGTCTAAGTCTTCGGGACAAAAATTAGTGCTAGACATCTCAGAAAAAAATTCTGTGCAAAAAGAGTGATAAGTATTTGGAACTCTTCTACCAAAGGCAATTGAGACTAGCTCAGTTGTTAACTGCAAATCTGGCATTGGTAGGACATTGTTAGCCAAACATATGAAGGGATTTGGGACAAAGGTGGACATACAGGGTTAGATAGTGGGTCAGCCGTGATCTCACTGAATGGCAGAACAAGCACGAGTGGTTAAATAGATGACTTCTGATTGCAACATGGTACTGCCGACCAAATTGGCATTCACTGCCCATTCCTCATTCTCCTATGAAAGTGGTTATACAACTGAGTGGATTGTTATGCCATTTCAGTTAAGAATCAATTACGTCGTGGGGGACTAGAATTATATATAGGTGACAAGAACGACAGTCTTTCTTTGCTAAAAGGCATTAAGTGACCAACTGGAATTTTGCAATAATCCCGCAGTCCGTTTAATGTTTTTTAAGTTGCCACAGTGAATTCTGAACTCAGGTTCTTAGTTTCTGAATTACTGATCAAGTAACATATACTTCCTGAAATGGTGGTGGAAGGAGGTTCAATTGGATAGATACTTAAAAAGGATAAAATTGGATGAAAGGGAAAGAATAAGGGAGAATGGGACTAATTGCATAGCTTTCAAACAGCCAGTGCAGGCACGATGAGCTAAAGAATTAATCATAGAATCCCTGCAGTGTGGAAACAGGCCCTTCGGCCCAACAAGTCCACACCAACCCTCAGAGCACCCACCCAAACCCATCTCCCTATAACCCACCTAATGTACAAATCCCTGAACACTATGGGCAATTTAGCATGGCCAATCCACCTAGCCTGCACATCTTTGGACTGTGGGTGGAAACCAGAGCACCTGGAGGAAACCCACACAGCAACAGGGAGAGTGTGCAAACTCTACACAGACAGTTGCCCGAGGGTGAAATTGAACTCGGTCCCTGGCACTGTGAGGCAGCAGTGCTAACCACTGTACCACTGTGCCACCCTTCTGTGGAATCTCCTTCTATGCTGTATCATTCACTATTAATTTATATTATAACGCTTAACAATATTTCTTTCAGTTGTGTGTCACAACCAGTAGTGGGCATAAGGGGCAATTATCTGAATGGCATCTTCCAGTGTTATCACTGTTCTAAGAATCTTGAAATTTTGGTAATCACAAACATGCTGATGGATCACATGATCTGGACCTCTCTGTTACTTTGCTGTCATCCCATGTGAGCACATTCCCGAAGTTTTAACCATCACATACACTGCATTGAACTCTACTTCAAACTGCTGGGAATGGATGGAAACTTCCTTCGAAGTGAACACACTTGTTGTTTTGGGTTGAAGAGGGAGGGGAGGTCCACTTAGTAATGAATGAATACCAGTTCGGCACAGGTCAGGCTGAGTTTCACACAGTTGTAAGCTGTCTTACTGCCATACCATTTTCTTTTTATGTTGCCTTCCCTGTAACCCGCAGTTGATCTCTTAAGCAACAGAGCCGCTTTTTGACTAATCGGAAGAAAATTCCTTATGGATTAAGTCTCTGACAAAGGTCAGCAGAACTAATTTGAAGCCTGTTTGATCATTTCCCCTGTTGCTGCTGTTTCATTTCTACCTGTTCTTCAAGATCACACCCTCCACCATGGCATCTTGTGGCTCGATTGTGTACTATCTACAAGACGTTCTGCAGCAACCCTTCAGGCAGTACCTTCCAAATCTGACCACTCCTTCACTGTCATTGAATTATAAACTTGGAACTGTCCCCTAATAGCACTACATGTGTACCTGCACCATGTGGGTTCTAGTGGTTCAAGAATGTACTGTGTTACTGTTTCTCAAAGTGATGGACAAGTTTCCCAGCAATGCCATATCTTAGACACAAATAAAAATGATTTGATCATGGTTTTCAAAAAATAGTTGGCTAAATACATGAAGTCAAAAAATAGTCTAGGTCTATGGGGACAGGGACAGCAAGTGGAATTAGTTGAGGTGCTCCTTCAGTAGTCAGTATGAACTCAATAGGCTGAATGGCCTCCTTTCTTTGCTGTAATTACTGAATCGATAACTCAGCAGCTTTCGTGGTAATCTTTCTGCACCCAGTTTTCAAATTATCAGCTTTGTTTGAATTTCAAACATTCCATCAGATGATTCAACTCCTGACCAGTAGGTTAAAAGCAAAAACAGAAGTTGCTGGAAAAGCTCAGCAGGTCTGGCAGCATTTGTGAAGAGAAATCAGAGTTAACATTTCAGGTCCAGTGACTCTTCCTCAGAATCCTAGTAGGTTAAAAGGTTGTTCTTCCGAAACCGGACCCTTTCCTATAGCAGGATCACCATTTTCTGCTCTCTGCAGATCCCTGTTCAAATAGGTGCAATATTTACAGCTTTCCCAGGCTCCTGAGGAGCAACAAGCTAAGTATGATAAACGTTTGTTTGATACTCCATCTCATAGGTTGTCAGTGCTGTGTAGATTGAATGGGTAAGTTAAGGGAGAAATCAAACAAAATTTCTAGGATCAAACACACAATTGCTGGAAAAGCTCAGCAGGTCTGGCAGCATCTGTGAAGGAAAGAACAGAGTTAACGTTTCGGGTCCGGTGACCCTTCCTCTGTTCTGAGATGCTGCCAGACCAGCTGAGCTTTTCCAGCAACTTTGTTTTTGTTCCTGATTTACAGCATCCGCTTTTGTTTCGGTTTTTAAAATTTCTAGGATCGCTGTTCTCCGAGCTTTGAGATTGATGTGCAATGCCTAGAATCCAATAACCGGCTGCAGCAAATTGGCTGTAGATTCAGATGAGGCCAGGAGTAGATGCGTTTGAGAAACTGTGAACTGATGTGCCGGGAGGACTGTAGGTTTGCACATTCTCATGAATTTTATCAAAGAACAAAAGCACTCAATGAAAATTAAACAGGTTTCTTTAAGCTTTCATCACGAATTTTTCTGCTCCAGTCATCAATTTACCTGATTTATTGAATTTACATTGTCACAGTGGCATTTTAATATCTTTCATTGTTTCAGGTTGTCCTAAAGCTTTGCAGAACCAGTGAAGTGCTTTCGATATTTAGGCGGTGTTGTATGGCAGGAAATGTAGCAGTCAATTTGTGCACATTAAGTTCCCTCAAACGATAATGCAATAATCACAAGATAATCTTTTTAGTGATGTTTGTTAGGAGATAAATATGGGACAGGACGTCATGTGAATTCTTCTTCTTGAAAAAGTGCCAAGGTACCTTATATGTCCACCTGAGAGGGCAGATAGCGGTCTCTTGATTTAACATTTCATTCATAAGGCAGGAGCTCTGACAGTGGTGCACTCCCTCAGAACAGTACTGCAGTTTCAGCCTGGATTATATGGTCAAGTCCCTGGTATGGGACTTGAACCCACTCTTTCTGACTTAGAGGCAACAGTGCAATCGTTAGGCTGTGTTGAATCAGGAGGATAGTGCTCTTGAGGCATTGATTACTCTTCTTTCTTATTGAAAAGCTGTTCTGAAAGACCGAGACATATGGAAAGTAATGGCAGAGAGAGAGTTGGTCATTTAAGCAGTTTTATTTTGGACGACCTTGGTACTGTATACTGAGAGGAGCAAGTTTTTCCCATGATAATTTGCACCTTGCAAACGGGTAACAAGCAAAGAAAACAATTTCCCCTCATTTGTTCATTTCTCTTTTGTAAATTCCACATCTGTGCAAAACAAAAACCTGTGCAATTTCCAACAAATAGAATATCTGACGGATAAAAAACAGAAAGTAGCCACCTAGCAGCCCAAGGAAAGGCTGAACACCAGGAATGCATAAGTAAGACATGACACCAAGTAATACAATGATTATACAGTCAGTTTAGAAACCGCCAGTAAATCCAACACTGACTCTGCAAATCAAGTATCCTTCTTTACATAGTGGCTTAGGATACTATAAGCTGTGTTCACCAAAAGATTCTATTATGTACATTCTGTATGTGTTTAGATATTCCCTTTTAATAACATATTAATAACAAAAAAGGTTATGGCTCATTCCCCACCCAATCCCCTGAATGCAGGGTTGAGCATGCCCGTTAAAAAGTACAGTGATAAAGTGGGCAGTCTTTCTGAGCGACGTAGTTTACTCAAAAGTGTTAGTGCATATGAATGTTAAAACAGAAAGATCCTGAAAACATACAGCCAGCCAATTACCATCTATAGTAAACTCCTTGCTCAGCATCTTTTGAAAAAAAGGAGAACTCAACTGAGAATCACAAAGATTATAAAGTCAATCAAGAGGCAAGCTGGTTCATAAAGAAATCCATTCCAGTTGACATGTTGCAAAAATTACATCAGGGCGAAGAAGGGAAGGAAGTGGGAAGCTGTCATCCAAAGTAACAAGCTGTGGAATCAGTTTCCAGCAAAGGACTTTGAATTGGGCTGTGGAACTGGACAGAGATATTATCAGTGCATGTTTTTGAAGGGATACGGTATACAGGTATATGATGAGATGCAGTGAGAGGATATGATGATCCAGAGATTCAGGGATTGGATAGAAAGAGCTTGAGAGAGGCGAGGAAAAATTGAAGAATATTAATGGAGTTGTTGAAAGAAATGGTGATGACAGATTGAGATTTGTGGTGAGAAGAGATTGAAAAATGTAGTGAGGAAGATGTAGTGATAATTGAGGATATAGTGAGAATGAGAAAGTGAATAGCAGATTCAGATAAATAGTGGGATGAAATTGAGGGATGTGGTGAATAAGAGATTTAGTGATTTGGGAATGATTATGCTGAATAGCTTAATTAAAAAGTGAAAAGGCAAAGGGGCTTGTGGGGTTTAATTATCGTTCCCCATTCTTTACAATCCTGCTTACAGTTTTAACAGTCTTCCCTCAGATGTTAAAACTCTCCTTAAAATCTGCTGTGAACACTTATCTGTACTTACAAACTACCAACCCAGCTCAGTATTCTCTCCAAAATCCTTGAACCTCCAAAATCTATGCCCAGCTTTCCTTGAACTTTTCCTTTGAATTAGTCCCATCAGATTTCCACTCCTGCCACTGTACTGAAATTCAGTAATCAGAAAAAAACAAGTTAAAACCTCACCAACTGTGACAAAGCTAAACCATCCCACCAAAAAAAAACAAAGAACTGTAAATGCTGGAAATCTGAAACAAAAACAGAAATAGCTGGAGAAACTCAGATCTGGTGATACCTGTAGGGAGAAAGCAGAGTCAATGTTTCGGGTCCAGTGACCCTCTTTCTGAACAGGGCTCTCATGTTCTTGCTCTGAAGAAGAGTCACTGGACCTGAAACGTAGGTCCTGCTTTCTCTCCACAGATGCTGCCAGATCCGCTGAGTTTCTCCAGCAATTTCTGTTTTTGTTCTTAACTATCCCACCTTGTTCTTCTCAATTTGTCTGGGCCTTTTACACAGTTGACCACACTGTGTCTTCCAATATCTCTTCACTATGGTCCCCATTCACTTAGTTCCATTCTTGATTGCCCAGTTGTACCTAGAGATAAACCCCTGTGGCGACTTCTCTTTCTGCTTGAGCGCCATTACTCTAGTGATGCTAAGAATAGATCCTGGGTTCCTTCTCATTCATCTGCTGCCGTTTTGGTGATGTCAGTCAGAAACCCATATATAGATTACACTCAGCTCTACTTCACCCTTGATTTTTCAACCCTTTCTAAATTATTAAACAGCGTGTACGACATCCAGCAGCGGATAATCAGAAATTTCCTCCAAATATTAGGAAGACTAACACCGTTGCCTCCTGCCCCATCTCAAACTCCTTTTCCTAGCTACAAACTTATATTTCTTTTTCTCGTCTTTGCAACAATCTCAAGCTGAATCAGATCATTTGCAAACTGGCATCACAGTTGACAATATGAGCTTCCACATCTCCATGCCACCAGTTCGACTGCCTATTTCTACCTCTCCAACACAGAAAGATTCAAGAAGGGGGCCATTCAGCCCACTGCGTCCATTTTCTCCTTTGCCTCAGATGATCGTCTCCAGAAACCTCATCCATGCCTTTGTTTTCTCTAGAGTTGGCATTTCCAATGCACTATGGCTAGCCTCCCATGTTCTATCCTGAGACAGTCCAAAACTCTGTTGTCTGTGTTCGAAGTTACAATAAGTACTGTTCAGACAGTACATTGCGCTCGCTGACCCACATGATTCTCAATTAAACAAAACACTGATTTCAAAGTGTTTTCAGATCTGTGGATAACAGATTTTCCCACGCCCGTCATCTCCTCCAACTCGCTCTCAGATATTTGCGCTCCTTCTAATTTTGGCCTGAGCATCCTTAAAGTTATTCAACTGCCATGCCTTGGAGGCTACAAGTTCCAAAATCCTCCTAAAACCCCTCCCACCTCTCTTCCCTCCTTGAAAACACTACGTAAAATCTCTCTTTGACCAGTCTTTTATTGATCTGCTTTAATATCATCCTATGTGGTTCAGTGCCAAGTTTTGCACAACTGTCCCTGTGAAGCATCATGGTAAACTGTGCTACTTTAAAGGTACTATATAAATACAAGTTGTTGTTGTTCTATTCAGGCCTTAATCAGATTCCATCTGGTCAGTCACTAACCTTGCCTCTAACAGATGTTGACTGTACAAATCCATGGCTTCCTGTCCCTTTAAATCCTCCAACTTCCAACATGCGTAGACTTCAATTTTTGTCCTGCTTATCTTGTTAGTACAATTGAGTATCTGATGCTGCTCACAGTAGGGAGAAAGAGGTCACAGCAGTTCCTTAAGAAATTTCAGATTAACCACCAATTGTGCCTTGTGCCAGTCTGGTAATCTTGATGAAGGAAACGCTTAAAAGCAGCACTGAGAATGCCTTCAGAGTCAGTAACATTATTACCGATAGTAAAATAAAACTGTCCCAAGACGGGAGTACTTGTAGGCATATTCTTGCCTCAGTCATCGTTTCGTCTCTCCTGAAGCTGTTGATTCTTGTTGCAGTCCAGTTTTGCTAAGCAGGTCGACCTTAATCCCAGCCTGTCCAGAGAGTCAGTCAACAGAATATTTTTAGGTGGGGACATCACATTCCAAATTTCATCCACACATAGTTCAACTGCCTGAAGGAGAAAAAGGGTCACAGGATGTGACCAGTCACAAAGCTAGTTTAATTCTTCCCAACTAAACTGATGATGAGCAGGTCAAAGAGAATGCACCTCAACTGGAACTCTGGGCAAGATCAGTTGGTGAGACAGAGAGGTAGGGTTGGAGGCGGAGAGGACAAACACAACATCTGCTACCTCTGGAAGGTAGATATTCTTGAAGTGAAAGTGCTACTCTGCTGTACAATGTTTCACATTGTTGTCTGAATGATAAGAGTGTTTCAGGAATGATCCAATATATGTAACTTGTCCACTCAACCTTGGGTGAAACACCAAATCTAGCTCTTGGGAGCCACTACTCCTATTTTCTTGTAGTAACTGCGAGCTCCTCTCATAGATCCTTTACATTGGCCCTCCAATTCCTTTGAAGTTACAGTGTTTGGCTGGGCTGGCTGAAGGAATACTCACACTGCAGCAGCAGTGGGCACTCTCTTCATTTTACAGCTGATATACGCAAAGGAATTTTGCTTCTCAACTCATGCTGGGCCTGTACACTTCACTGTGCCTTAAAAGTCAACAGTGATTGCAAATAAGGCATTCCATCTGCTACAAGTAAAGTTGAACAATCACAAGAACTATGAAAGTCTGTGAAATCTCACATACTAATGAAAGACAAATCCTGTAATGAGATTTGGTTCATGCAGGGTGAGTGTACCGATGTTGAGGCAGCTGCCTCCTTTGCAACTCTTCCCACTTTAACGTCACGAGAGCTGTGGTGCTTGTTCGTCTTTCATCAGTAACTTCCTTATTTATCCACTATTTGAGTCACTTTGAGACACAAACTGGTGATGATGACACAATGGTAGGTTACACTCACTCACCCTGATGTCTAAGTCAGGTTGCTAGACATAAATGTCAACGAGACCACTCATGTGAGCTCGGTGCTGAGCTGTTGATGGGTCAGCCTATCCCTTTCCAGTGGGCATTCTTCCACCTGGCTCTGTTAAGCAAGAGACGGCAATAAGATAATGGGAACTGTAATCCTGATGGGACAAATACTGAGAAGCTTCCTGATTCTCTGTGCTAGTGAACTGCGCACATTTGTTTGTTTTTGTTACAGGGAAAACACAAAGTCCCTGAGATATCACACCTAACAAAGTCTGTCTGAACCCAACTAGATCTGGTCCACAGGCAGAGTTTGCACATTCCATGTCTGTCTGTGCACGATGGGTACTGAAATATTGAGTTGCCTTATCCAGTGCCCTGTGTTATTGACTTATTTAGATAATTTAGATAACTGTGAGGTGCTGCATTTTGGAAAGGCAAATCGGGGCAGGACTTATACACTTAATGGTCGGGTCCTGGGGAATGTTGCTGAACAAATAGATAGACCTTGGGTTACAGGTTCATAGTTCCTTGAAAGTGTAGTCGCAGGTAGACAGGGTAGTAAAGAAGGCATTTGGCACATTTGTCTTTATTGGTCAGTGCATTGAGTATAGGAGTTGGGAGGTCATGTTGTGTTGTACAGGACACTGGTTAGGCCACTACTGAAATACTGAGTGCAATGCTGGTCTTCCTGCTACAGAAAAGATGTTGTGAAACTTAAAAGGGTTCAGAAAAGATACAAGGATGTTGCCAGGATTAGAGGGTTTGAGCTGTAGGGAGAAGCTGAATAGGCTGGGGCTATTTTCCCTGGAGTGTCGGAGGATGAGGGGTGACCTTATAGAGGTTTATAAAATCATGAGAGGCATGGATAGGGTGAAAAGCCAAGGTCTTTTCCCCAGGGTAGGGATGTCCAAAACTAGAGGGCATTGGTTTAAGGTGAGAGAGTAAGAGGCAACGTTTTCACGCAGAGGGTGGTGTGTGTATGGAACAAGCTGCCAGAGGAAGTGGTGGAGGCTGGTACAATTACAACATTTAAAAAGCATCTGGATAGGTCCATGAATGGGAAGGGCTTAGAGGGATATGGGCCAAATGCTAGCAAATGGGGTTAGATTAATTTAGGATATCTGGTCAGCATGGACGAGTTGGACTGAAGGGTCTGTTTCTGTGCCGTACAACTCTATGATTGCATCTCTACTGATATTAATTTAGCTCCCTCACAGCCACTCAGTAAAATTTAGTAAAGGCGCCATGCCCCAGTGGACCATTGGGGTTCTATCTCACTAGAAAGGATGAGTTTAGCTGAAGCCTTGGGCGAGAGGAGAGGTTGAGAAAGCGTACCCATTGTGGTACACTAAGTTGGTTCAGGTATTGAACCTGCACTGTTGGCATCACTCTGCATTGCAAACATGCTAGCCAGCCAACTGAACTAACCAGCGCCCATGTCACTCAGCAATCCCTCTCCCCGCACTCTCTGTTACTAACTGTGTGTCTACTAATGTTGTTCTGTTGGCATCGCCATTCCCTTTACAAATGTCATCAATGTTTGCTGTTTTATACGATTAAAAAAAAGGCACCGTGAACAAAAGAATATATGCTGATTTTTGTTTTGACAATCACGAGTCTTGATTTCCAATTGGAAGGGTGTTGTTCCAAGTCATATCTCTTAGTTAATGAGTTATTCTGATGGCAAATGGCAGTGATGAGGTTTGAATGTACAGCTCCACTTGATGCAGGTTGGCCTGGAATGGAGGTGGAATGGAGAGACAGGAAGAGGATTTGTGGCTGATGAAGGAGGACTATTTCATTGCACAGTCCACGTGGAGGATCAATACTCCAGAATTTCTAGGAACCCTCCAATTTTCTGTAGGTCATAAAATCTCGCATAGGATCGGAAGATTTTCACTTAGAACTGCTGCGCAAAATTCTCTCATCCATTAAGAAAACCTCTGAACTAAAAAGAGATGTCTTTTTTTTTTCTTGCAAAAGGGGCATCATGTCCTTGAAGTGATTAGCAAAGCCACATGTGTCTGCAGGAGACATACCAAGCAGTGGTGTTGTACTTTACCATCACAGCAGCCTCACGATGCCTTGTGAGGCAGTTTGCAACATTCCACAGCGTGTTTGTAAACAAACAAAAGCAACAACAATAAAAAAAACACTTGTCACCCCTTTAAAGGAATGAACTGGTCTCGGTTTCCATGGTCGTCATGACACATTGTCCAAAATCCAGCATTATGTGCAATTAAGAGGAATGGAGGGAGAAGGAAGGGAAGGAGTGAAAGATGGGAATAAATTCAATGTTGGTGGGACATGCTGTTGATCAGACTCCTGAGCTGTTTTGCCACCGTATCGATGAGCTTCTGCTTGTCACGTTCATTCTTACGGAACTGTGCAAAGACATTGTTCTTCCTGCTGGTATCTTTCATTCTGGAATAAAGAGCGTCACAGTATGTGGTTAAAAGAGATCTTCCTCTTTTATTCCTAAGATTACACTCCTCTGGAAACAGCACTTACCCATAGGCACAACACCATCTTTTCACAAACCCAAGATTCACCAAGCTAGTACTGCCCCTGGAGTGGTTTCCTGAATGCTGATCTGGCTCAGCAGCACCAATTAAATAACACTTGTGGGTCTCCTTCCTTCTCACACAAGGTTACACTGAACTATCGGTGACACACAATTTCTTCTGAGCTCCCACTCCTCGAGGGCTGACTTTAACATTTAGCAGGCTAATAACTTCTAAAACCTGAAATTTCTTAATCAATCAATGATTAATCATTGAGTTTAAGGTCTCTTGTGGTACAGTGATAATGTCCTTATCTCTGAGCCACGAGACCTGGGTTTAGGTCCCCTTACTCCAGAGGTGAGTAATAACATCTCTGAACAGATCGATTAGGAAAATAGGTTAATTAGTGAGTTATATAATTGCTTTTGGCATCTGAACGAGTCCCCCCAGTGTAGTTCAGTTGCTCTCTCAGCAACCCAGCCTAACTATTCCTTTCTGCATGGAGCTTGCTTCTACCTTTGTCTGTATTTTCCTACAACCATGTGTGACCTAGAACTGTTCTTCAATTCCACTCGAAAAACTTTGAATGGCCTTTTAACAACTTTGGAACAAGCCCCCATCCTGGTTTCTCAGTAGTATTGAATGTCACTAATATTTTGAAACAGTTAGATGCACCAATATACAGTGGGAAATAAATATAACAGCCCTTTGGAATGGTTTCTCCCTGACAAGTGTCACCAAGTGTCGCTTTTGACAGCGCAAAAATGCATACAAATGTCTTTCTAGGTTTCTTTGTTCATTCACAGGATGAGGGCGTCACTGGCCAGGCAGCATTTATTGCCCATCCCTAATTGGCCAGAGGGTTGTTAAGAGTCAACCACACCACTGTGGGTCTGGAGTCAAATGTAAGCCAGACCAGGTAAGGATGGCAGTTTCCTTCCCTAAAAGGCATTACTGAACCAGATGGGTTTTTCCCCGACAAATGACAATGGATTCACGGTCATAGTTAGATTCTTAATTCCAGATATTTATTGAATTCAAATTCCACCATCTGCTGTGGCAGGATTTGAACCTAGGTCCCCAGAACATTATCTGGGTCTCTGGATTAACAGTCCAACGATAATACCACTAGGCCATTGCCTCCCCTTCAGAGGGGTAGAGGTTGTGGGTTTGGAAACTGCTGAAGAAGCTATCAAGTGAGCCTTAGTTCAGTTACTATAGATCCTCTTGTGGACAGACTTGCTGCTGCTAGAAGGAAGGCTGTAGATGGAGACAGTGTAGAGGAAAATTTATGTTTAGTTTAAAAGAGTAGAGGAAGCTTTATTCTGTATCTAACCCGGTGCTGTCTCTGTCCTGGAAATGTTTGATGGGGACAATGTCGAGGAAGCTTTATTCTGGATCTAACTGCGTGTTGCACCTGTGCTGGGAGTATTTGATAGGCACAGTGTTGTGGAACTTTACTCTATATCTGAGCCTGTGCTGTCCCTGACCTGGGAATGTTTGATGGGGACAGTGTGGAGATAGCTTTACTTTGTATATTACCTTGTTCAGGGAGTATTCGATGAGCGCAGTGTAGAAAGAGCTTTCAATTAAGTTTAGACGAGTAGAGGTAGCTTTGCTCTGTATTTAATCCCATACTGTGCCTACCCTGGGAGTGTTTGATGAGGATGGTGTAGAGGATACTTTATTCTGTACCTAACCCTGTGCTGTAACTACCCTGGGAGTGTTTAATGGGGATGGTGCAGAGAGAGCTTAACTTTCATTTTTAACGAGTAAGATGAACTTACTCTGAATCTAATCTTGTACTGTCCCTGTCCTGGGAGTGTTTGATGGGGACAATGTGGAAGGAGCTTTACTCTGTGTCTAACCCCATGCTGTCCCTGTCCTGGGAGGTTTTTACGGGGACAGTGTCAAAGGTACTTTACTTTCAGTTTAAGAGTAGAAAGAGCTTTAACTTTAGTTTAAGAGTAGACAGTGCTTTTACCCTTTATTTAATCTGTCCCTGTTCTGCGAATGTTTGATGGGGACAGTGTATTAGATCTGGGAACACTTAAATTTTAAACTAAATTCTTTACGCAAATACTGGTTTGGCCTAGGAATATCTCTCATAAAGTGCTCTTGAAAAAAAATTAGGCTGGCTGGCATAAATGCAGTATTCAAGAAAATAACATTGATACTCATCAATTCAAACTAATGTTTTGGTCCAACACTTGGTGTTAGACAAAACGCAGTTTTGGAGATACACGAGGTACAATTGTACGATGGGAGATTTTTCACAGCTCGAATGATGTAGGATGAAAATTTCATGTGTCATTTCTGAAACTGGGTGACATTTTTTGCCTGATTGTTTTCAGTGTAAGGTTTGCTAGTAAGTAGTATCCAGGAAGTTGATACTTACGCTCGAGAGATCCTGCAATGCCGCAATAATATAAAAAAGAAAGATATCATCAAAGATTGAGGTTTCTTGAAAATACAGCTAAATGACAAATCTCCTCCATTTTGATATTTCGGCCCATTCCAATCTTATTTTACATCCACCATACCACCCAGTTCTCACTGAAAGTTTTGACCTGACCACGGCACCAATATTCCCCACTTAGAGCCTGTATCTTGCCCATGAGTTAATTGTGAATTTACAAAGTGAACAGTGGGAGGTCATTTAACCATGTTTTGGAGACATGGGTTCAAATCTACACCCTCTCCCATTGCAGATCCTCAAATGTGAATTCAATAAAATTCTGGAATAAAAAGTTGGGGTCTAGTGGCGGGCATGTGATCATTCTTAAGTGTCGTAGGAACCCACTTGGTTCACTAATCTCCCGTTCTTACCTGGTTTAGTCTACGTGTGACTCCAGGCCCACAGCAATGTGGCTGTTTCTTAACCACCCTTTGGGCAATTAGGGATGGGCAATGGGGAGTGGCAGGCGTAGAGTGGGGAGAAAAGCAGAGGGAGAGAAGAGGGTGTATCAAGGATGCATTTTAAACAGACTGTGAATGTCAGAGGAGCTGTATAAAACAATTTGTCTGTGTTGCACTGATTTGTATTGACTGCTTTAGTGAGTTATGTGTGCCTTTATTGGTCAATGCATTGAGTATAGGAGTTGAGAGGTCATGTTGCGGCTATATAGGACATTGATTAGGCAGCTTTTGGAATACTGTGTTCAGTTGTGGCCTCCCTGCTATAGGAAAGATGTTGTGAAACTTGAAGGAGTTCAGAAAAGATTTACAAGGATGTTGCCAGGGTTGGAAGGTTTGTGCGAGAGGGATAGGCTGAAAAGGCTGGGGATATTTTCCCTGGAGTGTTGGAGGATGAGGGGTGACTTTATAGAAGTTTATAAAATCATGAGGGGTATGGATAGGGTGAATAACCAAGGTGTTTTTTTTTCCCCCAAAGTAGGGAAGTCCAGAACCAGAGGGCATAGGTTTCAGGTGAGAGGGGAAAGATTTAAAATGGACCTAAGGGGTAACTTTTTCACACAGAGGGTGGTGGGTGTTTGGAATGAGCTGCCAGAGGAAGTGGTGGACGCTGGTACAATTACAACATTTAAAAGGCATCTGGATGGGTATATGGATAGGAAGGGTTTAGAGGGATATGGGCCAAATGCTAGCAAACTGGGGCTAGATTAATTTAGGATTTTTGGTTGACATGGACAGGTTGGACCGAAGGTTCTGTTAGAATGCTGTACATCTCTATGACTCTATAACAGATTTTACATTGCTAACTGACCCAGAAATGTTGAATTTGAAACATCCTAATTTGTACCCTGCCATTTCAAACCTTGTCCCATACACGGTGACAGCAACTTTTATTCACACAAGGTTTTGCTATCGCCCTCACCTACAAGCCACTTCCTAAACTGGAAGCCCCAAGGGGACACACTTACTTGTCCAGCAGGGCGAGGGCTGTCATTGGATTCACCCTCAGGTATTTGCAGTTGGACTGCCCATAATCAGCTAGGTACGTTGACCAATCCCATTGGATGAAGAGATCCAGGAGCTGTGGGAGCAAAATAGACAAGAGGATCAGAATGACTGTTGATGGTATTCAGTGCTGTGGGAACAACGTGACCGTTGTCACATCTGATCCAAAATGGGGGAGTTGAGGTTTGGGAATATGGAGACACTGATAACAAAAAGGAAATTCTCAACAACCTAAAACAGGCAGCAGTTTTACAGACCATCCTTCAAAGTCATATGTGACACTAGGGGCTGCTATTAAAATTAAGGGAACTCCAAAACATGAAACCGCACTTTCATTATTAAATTGTTTAAGCTGTACAGGACAAAATAGATCATTAGGGTCCACTGTGGCTGTTTATGTTTCACACTAGTTTTGCTGTGTGGAAAAAAAGGTCTTTTGTGAGGTCACATTTGCTCCTATTGTAGAAGACTTTAAATCTTTGCCCCTCATGACCAGGAACAGTTTCTCCTTATCCATTCTGTCCAGCTTGCTCATGATTTGAAAGCCTCTACCAAATCTCCTCTTGTCCTTCTCTTCTCTGAAGAGAACAATTCCAACCTCTGTAATTTATCTTCATAGCTGAAGTTTCACATTCCTGGGATCGTTCATGTAAATCATTTCTACACTCTCTCCAATGCATTTGCATCTTTCCTGTAATATAGTTACCAGAACTGTAAATAATATTCCAGCTGAAGTCTAACAAATGTTTTGTACAAGTCCAACATCACCTCCTTGCTCTTGTACTCTATTCCCATTATTAAATCCCAGGATATTGTATGATTTATTAACTGATCTCTCCACCCATCCTGCCACCTTCGGTGGAACCAACAATCTGTTCTGGACCTCCCATGTGGATTGAAAGTCAAGAAGACACAACAACACCTCTTTCTCAGATAGCTTAAGAAATCTGGTAAATCCATAAGGACCCTCACCAACTTTTACAGATGCACCACAGAAAGCATTCTACCTGGATGCATAATGCTCTGGTATGGCAATAGCTCTGCCCAGGATCATAAGAAACTACAGAAGGTTGCGTGCACAGCACAGAACATCACGGAAGCCATCCTCCAATCCATGGACTCTATTTACACTTCTTGTTGCTGCAGAAAGGCTGCCAACATCATCAAAGACCCTTCCCAGCCCAGTAAAACTTTCTTCCAACCTCTTCCATCAGGCAGAAGATCCAGAAGCTTGAACATGCGCACCAACAGGTTCAATAATAGTTTCTTCCCTGCTGTTATTAGACTAGGTAACCAGGTCGCAGCACTTTGAGGTTTAAAATATGCCCAACATTGCTTTGTAACAGGCTGTGGTTTGAATGAGATCTCTGACTCTCAGTTGAACTAGTTGGTTCAGAGCAGTCAACAATGCCTCCAGCTCCCAGAATTTTCTTGTTTAATGACTGAGTGCAAGACTGGCCACTTCTAGTCATGGGAATACACTCCAGCAAAAAGCTAGTAGGCTATTGTTTCATAATTTAGGAAGATGGTGGCACAGTGTGACATCACAGGACTGTTAATCCAGACACCCAGACATTCAAGGGTGAACCATGATGAACCACCTAGCACTGGAAACGGCAACAGCAAACACAGCACTGAAAAGTCCTCCTTCCAGACATCTGGGAGCCTTGGGACGAATTGGAAGAACTATCTCTCACAGTGGTCAAGTTCCTCATGAAATCACACCCTACACTTAGTGTCCCAGTTATCACCATTCTTGGATATGTTCCATTCCATCCATACCCAGTAGAGGTGGTGGTAAAGTTGGGAAGACACTGTCTGGGAGTCCTCAACATTGACTTTGCACACCCCTGAAGTCTCATGGCATCAGGTCAAATGTGGACAAGGAAATATCCTGCTGCTTAACACATAACGCACACGTGATGAATCTGTACATCTCCATCTTGAACATGAAAGAAGCACTGAGGGTGGCAAGGGCACAAAGTGTACTCTAGGTGAGGGACTTTAATGTTCAGCAGCAACACCACTGAGCAAGCTGGTAAAGATCTAAAGGACACAGCTGCTAGACTGGGCCTGTGGCAGGTGATGAGGGATCCAATAAGACGGAATGTCAAACTTGATCTCATCCTTACCAAGCTGCCTGTATCAGATTAGTCTGTCCATGACAGTGTCAATAGGAATGACCACCACATGGTCCCTACTGAGTCAAAGCCAATCTTCACAGTGACAGTACGCTCCTTGTGTTATGTGGAACTATCACCATGCTAAATGGAATAGACTTCGAATAGACTAGGCACCCATGGCTCTGAGTCACCATTAGCAGCAGAACTGTGCTCGAAAACAATCTTCTGCCTTGTGGCCTGGCATACTCCTCTACTCTACCACTACCATCGAGTACTGATGCCAATTCAATCCGCTCCATATGAAATGGCGAGAGGTATTGGATAGTGCAAAGGCTATGGGACCTGACAGCATTCCAACAATAGTACTGAAGAATTGTGTTCCAGAACATGCTGCTCCTGTAGCTAAGCTGTTCTAGTACAGTTCAACACTGGCATATACCCAACAATGTGGAAAACTGCCCATGTATGTCCTGTGCACAAAATGCAGGACAAATTCTTGATCATCAGAAAAGTGATGGAAGGTGTCTTCAACAGCGCTATCAAGCAGCACCTGCTCAGTGATGCCCAGTTTGGGTTCTGCCAGGGCCACTCAGCTCCTGACCTCATTACAGTCTTGGTTCAAGCATGGACATAAGAGCTGAATTCCAGAGGTAAGGTGAGAGTGACTGCCCTTGACCTCAAGGCTGCATGTGGCATCAAGGACTCCAGCAAAACTTGAATTAATGAGAATCAGGGGCAAACTCTTGGCTTGATGGATCCATACCTGGTACATAGGAAGATGGTTATGGTTGTTGGAGGTCAGTCATCTCAGCTCCAGGACATTTCTGCAGGAGTTCCTCAGGACATTGTCCTAGGCCGACCCATCTTCAGTAGCTTCATCAATAACTTTCCCTCTATCATAAGGTCAGAAGTGTTTGTTGTTGATTGCACAATGTTCAGCACCATTGTTGATGTCCAAATGCAGCAAGACCTGGACAAGATCCAGTTTTGGGCTGATATAAGGCAAGTAACATTCGCATCACACAGGTGATGACCGTCTCCAACAAGAGATAATGAGATAATCTAACCATCTTCCCTTGAAACTTAATGGCACTACCATCACTGAATCCCCCCACTATCAAGATCCCGAAGTGGGGTTGTGGGGGGTTGGTGGTTTAACCATTGAACAGAAACTCAACTGGACTGGTCATATAACTTCAGTGTCTGCAAGAGCAAGTCAGAGGGTAGGAATCCTGAGGCAAGTAACTTACCTTCTGACTCTCTAGAACATGTTCATCATCGACAAGGCACAAATCAAAGAACAAAGAACAAAGAAAATTACAGCACAGGAACAGGCCCTTCGGCCCTCCAAGCCTGCGCCGATCCAGATACTCTATCTAAACCTGTCGCCTATTTTCCAAGGATCTGTATCCCTCTGCTCCCTGTCCATTCATGTATCTGTCTAGATACATCTTAAATGACACTATTGTGCCCGCCTCTACCACCTCCATTGGCAACGCGTTCCAGGCACCCACCACCCTCTGTGTAAAGAACTTTCCATGCATATCTCCCTTAAACTTTTGCCCTCTCAACTTGAAATCGTGACCCCTAGTAATTGAGTCCCCACTCTGGGAAAAAGCTTCTTGCTATCCACCCTATCTATACCTCTCATGATTTTGTAGACCTCAATCAGGTCCCCCCTCAATCTCCGTTTTTCTAATCTACTCAACCTCTCTTCATAGCTAGCGCCCTCCGTACCAGGCAACATCCTGGTGAACCTCCTCTGCACCCTCTCCAAAGCATCCACATCCTTTTGATAATGTGGCGACCAGAACTGTACGCAGTATTCCAAATGTGGTCGAACCAAAGTCCTTTACAACTGTAACATGACCTGCCAACTCTTGTACTCAATACCCCGTCTGATGAATGAAAGCATGCCGTATGCCTTCTTGACCACTCTATCCACCTGCGTTGCCACCTTCAGGGTACAATGGACCTGAACACCCAGATCAAGAGTGAATTAGAGGTCAGTTTCAAGAAAAATCAGCCATTTAGAATTGAGATGAGAATCAAATTCTTCACCTCGAGGGCTGTAAATCTATGAACCTCTCTATCCAATAGGGCTGTGAATATTCAGATATTGAACATGTTCAAGAGCAAGACTGATCAATTTCTGAACTCTTAACTAAATCAAGGGATATGGAATGGAGCTTGAAACTGAAGTTTAGTAGAAGCTAAGCAACAACTTTACTTATCACCAAGAACGGCCTGCCCTATTTCTTATGTTTTATTAAAAAAAGACTTGAATTTCTAATGCATCTTAAAGGCCCACAAAATTAACAAGGAGTTTTACAGTCAATAGAGTACTTTTACTTGTACAGAACTTGAATATTGCTTGAAAGAGTAACTTTTTTTATTCATTCACGGGATGAGGGCATTGCTGGCTAGGCAGCATTTACTGCCCATCCCCAATTGCACAGAGTCAACCACATTGCTGTGGGTCTGGAGTCACATGTAGGCCAGATGCGGTAAAGATGGCAGTATTTTTCCCCTAAAGGACATTAGTGACGGGTTTTTTCAACAATCGACAATGGATTGACAGTCATCATTAGACTCTTTAATTCCAGATATTAATTGAATTCAAATTCCACCATCTGGTGTGGTGAGATTCAAACCCAGGTCCTCAGAACGATATCTGGGTTTCTGGATTAACAGTCCAGCGATAATACCACTAGGCCATTACCTCCCCAGTGACATGTTGCCAATGATTTTTGTCTTGAACTCAGACAAATATAATTTCAAATTTCAAAGAAACATTACAAGTTTTACCATAGAGGATGAGGTACTGATTGGTTATAAAGTCAGATTCTGACTGGCTGAAGTGTCATACAGACAGCAGCAGGGAACTACAGGCTCCCAAGCTCATTGGTAATTCAAAAAAGTACAAAGCTCAAACATATTTGGCTTGTGGAGA